GTTTCTGTTTCTGCTTCCGCAACTTTTGTAATGGAAATGTAATAGTTTACAACATTCGCGTCGGGTAGATCGCGCATTGTTTATCAGTTTTGTGCAATTATGAAACTAAAAAGAAATCCTGTTTGGAACAATTTTTTAATAGTCTTTACACTTCCTTCATAGTATTTTAAATGCCTCTGTGGCCGAACGGTTATCATGCTGGTCTGTCACGCAGAGGTCCCGGGTTGGTTTCCTGGGCCGGGAGAAATATTTGAATGGCCCACATTTATTTCTCTCGTGAGTTTGGGTGTAATTTGTGGTTGTCTATGTGTGTCCATGGCACCCGCGACACAGAGTTTCCCTAGTGCGGGGCTATGTTGAGTGTGTGCGTTATTTTTTGAGTAGCTCTCTAACCATTCAAGGGCTCTCCCCCTGATACCATACATTTCGAGTTTGCGTAAGAGTTTAGAATGATTGACAAAATCGAAGGCTCTACCATATCAAGAAAGATTGACATTACTGGGGTGAAGACGTTAATAGATTGTGTTATGACGCGCAACGGTTTAAATCACGCAAGAGTAGTAGAGCTACCTTTTTGAAATCCGTATTGAGAACAGTTAATGATTTTGTTTTTCTAAAAATGCGTTTAATCTAGTATGTAGAGCTCTTTCGAATACCTTGGACAGAGTCGGGATTAAAGATATTGGCCTACAATTTCTCGTGCTTTCCTTATCACGTTTCTTAAAAAGGGGTTTGATAACAGAAAGTTTTAATTGTTTTGGAAGAAGGTCAACACTAAAAGATAAATTTATTATACGTGTAAGTGGATGACAAATATAAGAGGCACACAGTTTAAGCTTTCTAGTAGTTATACTGTCATAACCACTAGATTTTGTGTTTTTTAACGACATAACAATGTTATATGTTTCCTTTTCGTTAACCGGTGTAAGAAACATTGTATGGAAATTTTTATTTAGAGAATTTGGTGTAAATGTCATGTGGTTTTGTGTCAAGTTATCTTTATTTGTCAGATCAATAAAATAATTATTAAAAATATTGCAAATGTCAACTGGGTTTGAGTATGTCATGTTATTAAGTCGTATGTGTTTAATGTCATTTTTTATGAATATTGTTCGTGATTGTAGATCAAATTGTATTCCATGTTGCTTTACAATTTTGGTTTTATTATTGTGTGTGTATATAAATATTACTATTGATTTTTTGAGCTTTTAGGATACAATTTCTTAAGATATTATTATATATTCTAAATTCATTTATGTTTATTTTTTTGTTAGAAGTTGATTTCCTGTATTTTAAATATAACTATCGTTTTGTTTTACAGCGTTTTTAAGACCTTTTGTAAGCCAGAGTAGTTTTTTCGGTCTATAATTAATTTTAATTCTTAATCTTGGAAAACAAAGTTCGTAAAAAAGACGTATCAAATCATAAAAGCTTGAGCTACCTTATCTGAACCAAGAACATCAGAAAAGGTAACGGCCTAAATGCAATTTCAATTTTTTTTAATATTCTCAGTACTAGTCGCGCCGTAGTTCATGCCAAGCGGTGGTAGCTTTTTGTCTCCCTGTCCTGAATAATTTGTTTATGAATAATTTTACAAAAATTAGCAACAGAATGTTCGTACGCTCCAAGTAGCGCCACCTGGTGGTCCATTTTCGAACGATCGACTTCTGCGGTCCCGATTATTTTCTTCCAATACAATAAAAGCAAGTGTTCAGATTTTTTACTTCCCATAAAATAAAATCATACTTATAAGAAACTGAGTCTATTAGCATTAAAAAAAAATTAGTCTATTTTATTCAGTTTGTAACAAAAAAATATTTTATGAACTTTAGCCAACTTCAGTTGTCTCGTACAATGAAATGATGAAACGGAGCCAATTGGCACAAAAAATTTAGATCAATTTTATTCATTTTATGGACAACACGCTTGATCAAATAATTGACTATACCAAAATTGTTTTCACAAAAAAAAGACTTAATGGTTCCTACAACAGTTTCCCCAAACTGTTCCATTTAAAAAAACATTCTGTATACCTTTCTCTAAGAAAATGTTTAGGGTAAGGTGTGAACAGCCTGGATATAAAACCTTTTCAATGGGATTTCAGAACAATGTATAACCAACCAGGATGGACTATTCACAGATAATATTGTCGTTCAATTCATATTAAGTATTTTTATTAGTTTCTTTTTATAATAATATTAATATGTATTCTTAGCATGCGTCACTAAATGTCTCATAAGCTGTGTTTTTCTAACAAAACCTTTTTTACAGTAATTACACTTGTGGGGTTTTTCTCCAGTATGGAGCATTGCATGCGTTGTGGCATTATATTTCGTAACAAAATATATGTCGCAAATACCACACTTATAAGGTTTATCTCCAGTATGGGTCATCATATGCGTCTTAAGATGTTGTATTCTTGTAAAAAATTTGTTACATGTATCACACTTATATGGAGACTCTCCAGTATGAGTCTTTATATGTTCTCTAAGCTGAGGTTTTGTTGTATAACATCTGTGGCAACTATCACATTTGAACGGTTTTTCCCCAGTATGAGTCATCACATGCTTCTTGAGCAGGGAGTTTTTTGTAAAAGTTTTGTTGCAAACATCACACTTATTAGGTTTCTGTCCAGTGTGAATCATTAAATGTACATTAAGAGAGGATTTTTTGGTAAGGGATCTGCCACAAGTATCACATTTATAAGGTTTGTCTGCATTGTGAGTTTTTGTATGTACTTTAAGCAGATACTGTGTTTTATATCTTTTGCTACATATATCACACTTATATGGTACCTCAGCAGTATGACCCATTACATGCAATTTAAGATTTTGTTTTCTTTTAAAACTTCTATGGCAAATGTTACACTTATAGAGCTCCAGTTTAGATTGAGAATCTTTGGTCACTTTGTCACATGTGTTCTGGACACAGGTTGTTTGAGATATGCCAGAATACTGCAAAACCACAGGTCCTATGGCCATTTCCTCCTTGATTTCATGATCTGCAAATATATTCCCATCCTCTGCTAAGTTTTCTTCCTTATAAAGATTTATAGGCTCGTGTTTGATGTCAATATTATTTTGTAAATTCAAGGTATTATCTGTCAAATCTTCTGCCTCTTCCTTGATGCTGAATTCATCTTTGATATTAATTGAGTCTATATTTGACATTGTTATCAACAACAGTAGTATTACTCTTCTAAGTGTAAAAGCATTTATATAATACAATGCTAGTTATTTGATGTGATGATTTTATTCCCAATTCTCGTAGAGTCTGAAACAAATTATGGCTCAATAAATAACAACAAAAGATAGAGAGGGGAAAAAGGAAGAAAGCTCCCTTTCTCCACATTTTACACGGGAAGATGATTTTAAATATAATGCTGGAGGAGCATGGAGGCAAATAGCAAGAGGTAGGGAGAAGTGGAAATCTCTGGAAATGTAAACTAGATCTATGCCTTTGGACAAGCTGAAGTTACCGAATTAACTTCATTTCACTTTTTATTTTTATGGCTCCATCATTACATAGAATGATGATTTTTGCCAATGTCACGATAGAAAGAAAAATTACACGTAAACAAAATAAGCACTGAGTTCTATTGTGACATTAACTGGTGTGGATGGGTTGGACCATAGAAGTACTCAGGTGAGAATCCAAAACAAAAGACAGTGCAAACATGTGACACGAATTTATAGATATATATACGAGATTATAAAAGGCCGCCAGCCGGAGCGAGCAGTACACTCGCTGGAACTTACAACTGTAAGAACCTCCGCTGGGTGAGGGGCTCTTGAGAGCAATTTGTTGCGTGTGACCAAGGCGAACCCCAGGCCGTGTACATTGCTCGTCTTCCGCCCCGCGTAGGGACTACCTTTCCCCCGTCCGCCTCCAGGTTTGGGGAGTGAAAGCAGTGCGTGACCAAGGTGCAAACCCAGGCCGTGCGAATCGCTCACCTTTCACCTCCGCCACCCGTTTACCGCTGTCAATTCCCGCAGAGGAGTAATTGCTGCGCGAGACCAAGGCGCAATCCCAGGAAAATGCACGAAATCATGCAACGTCTGGACGTCGAATTGCAGACACCGGCCCACCACACCATACCATAGCATAATGGCCATTGCCATACTGTGGCCTAAATACTCGCTTGAGAGGATACCCATGCCCAGCAATGAGACGTCTAAATGTGTAGATTTTTTTCGTTTTTTTTAATCTATTTTTTATTGAGGCTTTAGCCACCTTGAGTGACTATGTCAGCCTAATGAGAGGAATACTGGGTTCTCTACTCAAGGGACATGTTCAAAAACTTGTAGTTTGTTTAGAGCTCCAATGCATACAGGCTCTCTGAGTCAACAATTAATTTGTTCATTGCATAAACTTATATTCCCAAACATTGTATCCATTGTACTCAGGGTTACATTTCCATTCCACCAATACATGATACAGATCCTCTATTTTATTGCAAGTACTTCACAATGGGGATGGTTTAAAACCCATCATATGAAAGAATTTATTAGTTGGAATGTGACCAGAACGCAGTCTAAAAGCTAGTATAAGATATTTCCTTGCTATATTGACCAAATCAACCACCCACTGTGGATTACTCTGGATGGTTCTGTACTATATTGCAAGGCCTTTATCCACCGACTGTTCTCTGAAATGATATTCCGTTTTTGTAGGGTTCTTTTCTTAATTAGTGGAATAATCTTGATAATAATGATGAAATTTATATACTTACTGGAATCGAGATGAGTAGATAAAAAATGTTTGAAAAAGTTGAGCAAAGTCAAGGTGTGCCGTTACTTACCACCACAATTAATTAATTAGTACTGACTTCAAGCAACGGAGCCATATCCATATAAAACTTGGCTTGAGATATTGGCACCTTAAGGAAAAATGAAAAACTAGACTGAAACTGTAGCACCAGAGCTCCTTGTGAGAGTTTGTCCAGGGAAGTACTGCCAACTTACCTATTTATGCCGCCAAAAAAAATTTCTGCGGCTAAAAACGCGTGTGTTCCTCAACTGGACATTGGCGAAATCATTGATCACTTCGATGGGGCCATAACGTTTAAAAGAAGAAGAGAAGATCAGTATTACTGTTTCGGTTTTGAAGGGTAAGTGTGCTGGTGAAATTAAAGGCACATGGGACTTGATAAACTTATGTCTCAGGGTGACGGGCGCAATGGCAGTGCGTCTCGGACATTGGCGATTTAACGCTCTGAGGACACTGCATCTGTTTTGGCGTGAAGCTTACCACCACGCGCACGACTTGTTCGTCGCGTCACTAGATATTATAAAAAAAAAACAAGGCAGCAATTCGTTGCAGTGTTTATTTCAATAATATTTTTGAATCCATTCCATTTATGTTAATTCAATTTCGCTAAAAATTTCGATTACGGTAGTTATGACGCAGAGGACAGAGTAGTTGATAAACTAAGGCATTCAACATTATAATTATAAATTTAATAAATTAAAAAAAAATTATATAAATTTTTAAAGCGATTTTACGAGTTTTTCGGCGTATTATAACGTACCAAATAGACACTTACCTTTTAAAGATTATCCTGTTTAGTATTCTATAATATCAACATATTTCCTTCGAAGTAAAAACACGACTGATGTTTGGGAATGTATTATAATATATTTAACGCTGCTCCATTATTATTACAGTTTAATCTTTCCTGACTTTTTAACAACGACACAGACCGATGAGACGCGGTATCAGTGTTGCCAGACTTTTGCGAAGTTAATTCGCCAATTTAAAGGGTCGTATTCCAGAACTCAACTCAATACTCAAGTCAGGACTTGAGTATTGCAGTGAGCACTGAAAATCATACTCAAGTCCTTGCCATTAGAGTCGTATTTCCAATGCTTGAAATCATACTCAAGTCTGCTCAACTTGACTTGACTGGACTTGAATTTGAGGACTTGAGTATGATTTCTAATGCTTTGAATCATACTCAAATCCTGACTTGGACTTGGGTATGATTTCAAACGGAGTTTTTATTCCAGAACTTTACTCTACTCAAGCGTAGAATCTGTAATCGGAGTTTTACTGTTTCCTAAACGGTACTCGACTGTAAAATCTTGTCTTGAGTGTTGTCAAAATCTGTATTTACTTGAGTGAGGTCCTGGTTGCGCTTGAGTACATAATAATCGGCGAAAAAATTATAAGATTACGATGGAACCATTTGACAATTTTGATCTTTATCAAAATATATCAATGATGAATATCATACTCAATTGCTTCAGATGTTGAAAGACCTACAAGATCCGTACGACATGGAAGATTTGGTAAAAAAATTAATTTGACCTATCATAGCAGATGAGTGAAATCAGACAACCGTGGTTACCTAATTGCACCTGAAATACAGATTCCGGCTTGCTTACGTTTGTATGTACTGGATCATTACAGTTAACGATTCTTTTATGGGGAACTGTAGGTATATGATTTCATTACAATATGATTCCGAAGTATATGTTAAGATTATCATTTCCTAAGTATAAAACTTACATTCGAAGTAACTTATAAAATGGCGTTTTCAAGTGTAATATTTCACCAATGGAATAAATTGACTTTGACCAACTAGAATGTTATAATTTAAAGTTCTAAGTTAAAATCTATGTAGTTTCAATAATACAAGCTTTGTTTTGTTGATAGGCATATAGATAATAACAACGTTTCGGGTCGTAATCCAGAACTGTACTCAATGCTCAAGTCAGGACTTAAGTATGATTTAAGGCACTGAAAATCATACTCAAGTCATTGCCTTTAGGGTCGTATTTCCAGTGCTTGAAATCATACTGAAGTCTGCTCAAGTCAGGACTTAAGTATGATTTAGAGCATTAGAAATCATACTCAAGTCCTTGTCATTAGTGTCGCATTTCCAGTGCTTGAACTCATACTCAAGTCAGGACTTGAGTATTGCAGTGAGCACTGAAAATCATACTCAGGGCTTGAGTACGATTACTAGTCCTTGAAATCATACTCAAATCCTGATTTGAGCATTGAGTGGAGTTCTGGAATACGACCCTATGTTTGCACCATTTAGTTATTTGTGAGCATTGGCTATAGAGCCACCAGCATATACACGTAACAATTAATTTAAAGTCAAAACGAAATAATACTTCACCTAAAAATTTATTTGTGAAAAAAACTGTAAACATTGTGTGTATAGTTGCTCCACTAGGAACTCTTTTCCTCTAAAAGGGGGGATTCATTATCTTGCATTGCAGCCCGCCTTGCCGTTGGCCACGTAATGCAGGATTATGATTGTAGTCGCAGCATGTTAGCCTTCCTGTAATCCTACAATGCGTCTTGCGAGACTCCATACGTGGGGCTATGAAATGGCCCATTCACTACTTGCATGGCAGTCTGCCGCACAGGCAGGAAACTGCTCACTAATGCATTTAAGAGAAAGTGAAAACATAATGTTGTAGAACCACAATTGAAAATATTTTATGTAGATCTCGATAATTAAACGAAGACATGGCTTAAAATACTTATATCCAATGCCAAAACTCTTGATAAAAAAATCAATATGATCGTTTTTGACATAAATCGAAGCATTTTCTAATATGTGAATCAAAGAGAATTTTATAAGTTTACTAAAAAAACCATTTTAATCAATAATAAATTAAATTATTAATATAAAAATTCTAATTATGAATAGAAAAGCCAATTTTGCTCATAAAATATTAAAACTAAAAATACATAACGGAAGTGGACATACCGGGTCTCTTTATTAAAAGTTTAGGGAAAGATTAGAACTATAGCATAAACTTATGTATTAATGGAGCAGCTTTAAATGTATTACATACCCAAACATCGGTCGTGTTTTTGCTTCGAGGGAAATATGTTGATAGAATACTAAACAGGATAATCTTTAAAAGGTAAGTGTCTATTTGGTACGTTATAATACCCTGAAAAACTCGTTAAATCGCTTTTAAAAAATCTGTTAATAATGTTGAATGCCTTAGTTTATCAACTACTCTTTCCTCCGCATCATAACTAACGTAATCGAAATTTTTAGCGAAATTGAATTAACATAAATGGAATAAGGCTTCAAAAATAAACACTACAACGACTGTAACGAGTTGCTGCCTTGTTTTTTTTATAATTACTATTGACGGGACGAACAAATCGTGATGGTAAGCTACTTGGTACTTGGTGCAACGGGCTGGTGTTCGCAACTCGACGACAAAGTGCCTATTTTACGTGAGGTGGGTGTAGGGTCCTACTTGTGCCACCCAAGCTCCTCCAGGAATCTCAGGCACCTCCTCGGTTTGCTGATGATTTCGGGGAGCGACCTCTGCACTCCAAGGTAGTTCGCCCTGTAGTTGGCCAAGCTGGAGCACTGTAGTAGGATGCGGGTGGCCGTTTCCTCCCTCTCCTTGCACGCTTTGCATAGAGGGCTGTCTTTGATACTTAAATTGAAAAGGTGTTTATTGTATGGACTATGACCCGTTTGGGTGGCAGTTAGAGTGCGAAGGTCTTGCCTTTTAAGTTTGATTAATTTTCGAGATAGACTGGCGTTGAGTGTCGGGAGGGCTTCCCTCGCCTGTCTACAAACAGTAAGAGTTGTCCATGTGTTATTATGAAAAGATTTTGTACCTTTGAGTATAGTTGTTCTTGACCATTGGTTGGGGAGGGACACTATGAGTTCTGGCCCTACAGCATCCGTCTCCGACCCTTTTCTAGCTAGTTCGTCTGCTGCGTCTTTGCCACGTGAGCCGCTGTGTCCTTTAATCCACTGTAGAATTACGTGCTTGTGTGTACATACCTCCATGAGTGCTTGATGGTATTTGTAAATGAGCCCTGAGTTTATGTCATAGCTGTTCAGTGCTTGAAGTATTGACATGGTGTCAGAGAGTATACAAATGGAGTAATTCTTTAAAGAGAAGAAGAAGAAGTAAAGGTTTTCTTCTCTTCCTCTTTATTTCTATTGGTTCTGCAGCCAACTTGATACCCATGCATTCTACCTGGAATACTGTGTTGTGGTCACCAAGTGGTGTTGATATCCTGATATTGAGGTCTTCTGAGAATACCCCAGTACCTTATGTTATGTACTGGGTACTTTAGTTATGGCCCCATCGAAGTAATCAATGATTTCGCCTATGTTAAGTTGAGGAACACATGCGTTTTTACTCAAAAATTGACCGGTAAATTACGACAGAATCCACTGAAAGAAGAATCTGCAAATCCACAATATTACTGCTTGGCAGCAGAAATAGGTAAGGTGGTAGTACTTCCCTGGACAAACTCTTTCACAAGGAGCTCTACTGCTGCTGTCAAAAATTTGTCAGGTGTTGATTCTGAGGGAGATTTTATTTAAAGACTTTAGGGATCAACCAAGATTCTGTGCCCTGTGGTCCGATGACGATTAGTAATTATTTGACTTTAATTAAGCCCAAACTCACGAGAGAAATAAATGTAGGCCATACAAATATTTTTTCCGACGCGGGAATCGAACCTGGGACCTCTGCATGGCAGTCATGGTAACCATTCGGCTATGGAGGCAGTTAAATCTTTATTTCATAGGTAACCATTATTAGGGCGCGTTCAAGTTAGCCGCTGTTAGCCGCGCTGCAGCCGTGCGGCGGCCGCGCGACGGCCGCGCTGAAGCCACACTCGGTTGCATCACGGTTAGTGAGGTGTACATGTTAATTTTTCAAATTAACTACGATGGAAGAAAATCGAGTTGAATTTATAGAGAATGCAGAACAACACCTTGCAATGGGATATCAGTTCCGCCAGTTATTCTAATCGACTGGAAAAATAGGACATGGGAAAATTTATGTCTAAAATTTATTGACTATTTTGAAACTAAAACTACAAATGAAAAAACAGCAGGTTGTGAGTAATTTTTAACATCTATACGTGAAGTATGTGCTCAAGAACTCTGATCCCCTAACTATATACCTTTTGGTTCTGAATACAAGTGTGAAGAATAGTGTTAAACAAACGTAAAAATCCCATATAAACCCGTAAACAATAGTAGTAGTAGTAGTAGTAGTATTCATTTTGATTATTTTGACAAAATAAAGGTAACGAACGGATTCTAAAGGTGCCTACGACATTGTCGATCAACAACGAGAATTATAGAAGTTTCGAGTTGTTTGGGAGTGCTAATTGAGAATGTGGCATTAATTTCTAAATCCAAGATGGTTGCCAAGAATTTTCAAAAATTTATTTTTGGTAATCCTTATGGAAATGGCACATGCTGTACATGGTGGCTGACACGACTTTTCGCATTTCAAAATCCAAGATGGCGATATTCGTAATGAGCATCCCCAAATACCTCGAAAAGTATACCCATATTGCATTTTTTTGAAAAATCGTGTCTGCCGTCTTGGATTTACAAACAAGTGCTATATTCGTAATGAGCACTCCCAAATACCTCGAAAACGATATCCAACTTGCCATTATTCGAAAAATCGTGTCCGCCATCTTGGATTTAGAAATGAGTGCCATATTCATAATGAGCATCCCCAAATACCTCGAAAATGATACCCATATTGCATTTTTTTGAAAAACAGCTTGCCATTATTTGAGAAATCGTGCCCGCCATCTTGCATTTAGAAAAGTCGTGTTAGCCATCATGTATTCAGATATAAATGCCATTCCCATAAGGATTACCAAAAAGAAATTTTGAAAATTCTTGGCAACCATCGTGGATTTAGAAATTAATGCCACATTCTCAATAAGCACTCCCAAACAACTCGAAAACGTCTATAATTCTCGTTGTCGATCGACAACGTCGATTATACGTTGTCGATTATATTAATACGTTCTGGTATTCTTTTTAATGTTTTTTTTCTTCAGTTTTATCAAAATAAGTGAAACGTTTCTTCGTCAAAATCCATCGTGTAACTGAGTCGAAAGACAAAACATCACTAAAAATTTGGTCGCACTTCAGCAGCGCGACAGTCGCGCGGCCGCCGCGCGGCTAACAGCAGCTAATTTGAACGCGCCCTTAGACTTGAAATCGTCACATGGTTAAACTCTACTGTTCATTCGTAAGGCACATTTCTCTGAGAAGAATGTGCAAAAAACTCTAGGGGTCGCGTAAATAACATTTGTATACATTCAACATTTACAATATATTTTTCTTTTATTTTCAAACATCAGAGATCGAGCTAAACGGGTTACTACCACGGATTTTTGTCATCCAAATACACAGAAGTTGTATAATAACCTTTCTTCTTCTTTTAAAAGCTATGGCTCCATCGAAATAATAATAACCTTTAGTACCTATAAAGTTTTTGTTTCACTATAGTTTTAAACCTCGTGCATAGCAAATTTTGTATATCAACTGGAATCTTGTTATAGAAGCGTATACATTGTCCCTTAAATGAATGTGACATTGTGAAGACGACTATCAATAACAGCTAGTTTATTATTATTCTTGTGTTGATGTTATGTCTGTCGCTATTTTTCAAGAAATTACTATTCCTCCTAACATAAATTACATTTTCAAAAATGCACTGTGACGTGTAACGTGTGTAAGATTGTTAATTTCTTTAAACTTATCTCTCAAAGATACGCTGGTGCCCAGATTGTAAACTGCCCTAACAGAACGTTTCTGCACGACAAAGATTCTATTGATATCGGCGGCATTACACCAAAGCGAAATGCCGTATGTCGTTAGACTGTGAAAGTAACTGAAGTAAACCAATCTAGCGGTTTCGACGTCTGAAAATTTCCGTATTTTTTTAATCGCGTACACTGCAGAGCTGAGCCGTTTTGTTAATTTATTTATATGTGGACCCTATTACAATTTAGCATCTAACTTTATATCTAGGAATACAACTGTATCCACAAGGTTGAATTTTTCGTTTCTGAAATATTTTTTTAAATTTCGTCTCCTGTGTCAAACACCCCCCTCCCGATAGGAGTAATTTGGGGAATAAATTAAACTTCTAAATTGTCAGAAGTGCCTGATTAAATTAAAAAAAAGCAAAAGTTTTTAGTGCTTTATTGCCACAATACAAAGGGTAGGCGTTGGCATTTCTTCTTAACATTTTCAATCGTTTATATTTTTTTAACTAATGTAGATAGGAAGCGTATACCTTTAATTCGTGAAAGTAGCAAATAGGTAGCAATTATTGGTAATACATACTTCTGGAAAATCTGCTCCCTTAACGCTGAACAAAGTGGTGACCAGCCATCCTGACGTCAGAATGGCTGGTCAATTATTTTTTTAATTTCTCAGAATATATCAAAGGTAGCAATTATTTAGAAAAGGTAGCAAATAGTAAGCAATTCTTGAATATACATTCAGTACTAGATGCGATAGGCGGCCAGCCACCCTGACGGTCACTAACTGCCGGCAAACAAATGGTCGTATATCAATCACTATTCACGGTACAACGATTCTCCAAAGCAACAGTAGGCCAAGTGTCCAGTTTTATTAAAAAAAGAAGCTATCATCCGCTTAGAGGCAATTTGCACGCGCGCCACTTTGGTTGGTTTCAGCTCATCTCGAAAGACCCATACGCTCGATTGCTGCTTTGTTTTGGGATCGTAACTATAAATCCATGTTTCGTCATCTGTTACTATGTCCCACACCAAATTTGACGCCCCTTCGTTGAATCTGGTAAGCATGTCATTGCATCTAGTGACGCGATCCGGTTTTTGAGCCTCAGTCAAATTGTGTGGGATCCACCGAGAGCACAGCTTTTTCACACTCAAATGTTGTGTAGTATTGATTGTATTTGACCCATGCTTATGCCTTAAGATGTCCGAATCTCATGGTATGTCACATGCCTGTCTGTTTTGATCATACGGCGCACAGAATCGATCGAATCAAGAAATTCGTCACTGAAATTTACACGACCGCGTTTGAATTCTGCATAGTCGTCTTGCATGGTGCTTCATCGCCAGCAGTTTGAAGCCGAGCGAAGCTCCGCTGAGCTGTTAAATTACACTCAAAGTCGCAGAAAATCATACTACGAAAATGTTTACGAGTTAAATCCATGGTGATGTAAACAACCAATTTCTAAAATGACGTCACAATGTAAAAACAAATGACAGTCAGATGAAAGAAACTGTATTCTACAGCCAAGAGATCCATTTTCAAATGTTCTAATTACTTTTTAAATGTTGTTTATGTAAGTGGCCAGTTCCGGAAACTGATAGTGTGCCCTATGTACATTTACGCAATTGTTTGAACCCTGGCTTTTTGCGTAAAATCAGAGTTCGAGGTCACTCTGCGAGTGTGGCCTAGAGGACGGTAGCTTGGAACACATTTTTTTTCAATTGCCCTAATGATTATGTCCCGCTTTATAATTTGCTACCTCCAAAATTCCCCCGCCCCACTAACATAAATAATCTTCTAACTTTTGTGTTTCCTCTCTATATTTCTACTCTAAGTAAATTCATCCAGTTAAATAGTATATGTTATCTATAGTTCTTTGTTACATGTTTGTGCTGTTTTTGTTTTAGATTCTCACCTGAGTACTTTCATGGACCAACCCAACAACACCGGTTAATGTCATAATAGAACTCGGTGGTTTTTTTTTGTTTACTGATAATTTTTCTTTCCACCGTGACATTGTCAAAAATCATCATTTTATGTAATAAATATAATATAAAAATGAAAAGTAAAGTGAAGTGAAGTTAACTCGGTAACTTCAGCTTGTTCTAAGACATATATTTAGTTTAAATTTCCAGAGATTTCCACTTCTCCCTATCTCTTGCTATTTGCCGCCATACTCCTCCAGCATTATATTTAAAATCATTGTCCCATTTAAAGTATAGAGAAAGGGAGCATTCTTCCTTTTTCCCTCACTATCTTTTGTTGTTATTTATTGAGCCATAATTTGTTTCAGACTCTACGAGAATTGGGAATAAAATCAACACATCAAATAACTAGCGTTGTATTATATAAATGCCTTTACACTTAGAAGAGTAATACTAGTGTTGTTGATAATAATGTCAAATCTAGACTCAATTAAGATCAAAGATGTATTCAGCATCAAGGAAGAGGCAGGAGACTTGACAGATAATACCTTGAATTTACAAAATAATATTGACATCAAACAAGAGCCTATAAATCTTTATAACGAAGAAAACTTAGCAAAGGATGGGAATATATTTGCAGATCATGAAATCAAGGAAGAAATGGCCATAGGACCTGTGGTTTTGCAGTATTCTGGCATATCTCAAACAACCTGTATCCAGAACACATCTGACAAAGTGACCAAAGATCCTCAATGTAAACAGCTCTATAAGTGTAACATTTGTCATAGAAGTTTTAAAAGAAAACAATATCTTGCAGTGCACGTAATGGATCATACTGGTGAGGTACCATATAAGTGTGATATATGTAGCAAAAGATATAAAACACAGTACCTGCTTAAAGTACATACAAAAACTCACAACGCAGACAAACCTTATAAATGTGACACTTGTGGCAGATCCCTTTCTAAAAAATCGGATCTTAGTAGACATTTAATGACTCACACAGGACAGAAACCTAACAAGTGTGAATTTTGCAACAAAACTTTTACAACAAACTCTCTGCTCAAGAAGCATGTGATGACTCATACTGGGGAAAAACCTTTCAAGTGTGACATTTGCCACAGATGTTATACATCAAAATATCAGCTTAGAGAACATATAAAGACTCATACTGGAGAGTCTCGGTATAAGTGTGATATGTGTAACAAATGTTTTACAAGAATACAACATCTCAAGACGCATTTAATTATGCATACTGGAGAGAGACCTCATAAGTGTGATATTTGCAGCAAAACTTTTACAAGAGCACAACATCTTAAGATGCATATATTGATGCACAATGGTGATGCGCCATTCAAATGTGATATTTGCAACAAAGGTTTTATAAGAATACAACATCTTAATATGCATACAATGACCCATACTGGAGAGAAACCTTATAAGTGTGGTGTTTGCAGCAAATATTTTGTAACGAAACATAATGCCACAATGCATGGAATGACCCATACTGGAGAAAAACCTCACAAGTGTATTTACTGCAAAAGAGGTTTTGCTAGAAAAGCACATCTTATGAGACATTTAGTAACGCATGCTAAGAATACATATTAATATTACTATAAAAAGAAACTAATAAAAATACTTAATATGAATTGAATGGCAATATTATCTGTGGATAATCCATCTGGTTGGTTACCTCTACGTATTTCTACAGCACAGCAACGTTGTTCTAAGATCCAATTGAAAAGGTGGACAGACTCCTCAACACAACCTTTTCTCTCTCTACGTCTCTTTCTTGTGTCTGTGCTTTCTTCTTCTGCTGTTTTTTACTGTTTGTTTTTCCTCTGTAATAATACACCTTTTCCTACCTAAACCGCCGTTTCCTTCGCTGTCCTCGATAGGTTCTATATCCAGGCTGTTCATACCTAACCTTACACATTTTCTTTTTTAAAATGGGACAGTATGGGGAAATCAAAATCCTTAGAAGATGCAATGAAACTGTCTTTGGAACCATTAAGTCTTTATTTGTGAAAACAATTTTGGTATAGCCAATTTTTTGATCAAGCGTGTTGTTGTCAATAAAATGAATAAAATTGATCAAAATTTTTTTTTAGTGCCAATCGACTCACTTTCATGAAGGGATCACTTCATTGTAAGTGACGAAAAAATCGGGACAGTTGTAAAATTTCATAAAATATTTTTCATATAAAACGAATAAAATTGACTAATTTTTTTAATGCTAATAGACTCAGTTTCTTATAAGTATGATTTTATTTTATGGGAAGTAAAAAATCTGAACACTACTTTTATTGTATTGGAAGAAAGTAAACGGGACAAAATAGAATAAAATCAGATTCGTAAAATGAAATTAAAACATTAAATTTAGTAAAATGTTCGTTTTGTATGAAAAATAATTTTATTAAATTTAACCAACTTCTGCTGTTCCGATTTTTTTTCTTCCTATACAAGGAAATCATTACTATTAGCATTAAAAAAAATAGTCAATTTTATATTATGGTGTGGTGGTAGAAAGCCATAAGGTCGGGTTGGAAGGAAAACTGAGTGTGTTGGGACGTGGTGTAGAGTGTAATGTATGTGTAGTATGAAGGTGAAGATCGGAGAAGATGGAAACACGGAGTTGGAGGCCTCCGACCTCCAAGGTTGGAAACCGAGGGCGGAGGTGCCGAGCCGGAGCGCAGCGGGTTCGGCGCGGAGGCGGTGTGTGAGTGGCTGCATCGACAGCGGCGGTAGTGCAGCAATGGATTTTATCACTTTGTACTCGGAGGTGGAGTTCTACTTCGTCTTGAGCGTCGCGTTCAGTCATTCCTGCCGCTCCAAACTCGGTTGGTGAAGGTGAGATACACAGTCCAGGTAGGAGGAGCGTAAACGTGAAGACCAGGTTTAGCGTGAGGCAGTCGAGGAACTGCAGGCGCGTAAGCGCGGTAGGAGTAAGGTCGGGTGTAGGGCTTCAAAAAGGAGAGACTTCGTATATTTATTGTAGTACAAGAATGCCGAGCGTTTGGTAGAGCGAGAGAGAGAACATCGAAATTCGAATAGTCAATTTTGAATTTGAAATGAAGAGCCAAAATGAGAGCAGTCTGAAGCGGAAACGCTTCTACTGCTAAGATTGCATATCAAAGGAAGAGTAATTTATAGGTGATCTAGGGAAGAATAGGTAACAAAATCTGTCAATTAATGTTAATATGTAAAAATATTAAATACGAAATAGTACGTAATTAGCAGTGGAAAAACGAATAGCAAAATTCGGAGATACTATCAGTACGACAGAATATGCCAAGGTCGGGAGATCAGACATGAAAAGTGAGTAAGCATGACGTAGAAGGTTTTATACCATTAGTGTAATCAAGATTCTAAAATCTTGATTACACACGGCAACCTTTGAGCAAACATCAATACAAACGCGCGATTTCATCGATGCAATCGCGTATAAACCACAAGTAGAGATGGGAAAAACTGCTTATTTTTTCAAGTGTTAAAACGTTGCGCTTTGTTTTAAAAAGCGTGCTTTTTAAACGCTTCTTAGTTTGAAGCTTACAAAATCGTTTAGAAAAACGTTTAAGCGCATAGACTTCTAAGTTAAAAAAGCTTGCAACGTTGTGTTGATAGCGAAAAGCAAGAGTAGACCACTAAAGGTTCTGTAAGTTTATTTGTAAAACACGAGTATTATTGTTATTTATAAAATTATTATTCACATTGACGAATTAATTTGTTTAGGAAACATAGATGGCGGGACTTGAGCACATAAGCACGTTGTTACGCTTACGTTTAAATTGAAAATCGTGTTTATATATGCTTATTTTAAAAAGCAAACTTTTTAAGTTTAAACGTCCACCTCTAACCACAAGTGTAGCGATGCATCGCGCGTTTTTATCGATACAATCGCTTATAAATCACAATACATAAAATAAAATTAACCTTTGTAAGCCTATGGTGTCAATTCGAAAGCCCGCCATTTTTCAATTTTTTCCGACATTTTTACTTTTTACGACCATTTTTTTTTATAAATAGTTTTGGCTTGGATACAAGTCCTTTGAGCCATGTCTTCGTTTAATTATCGGATACTCAATAATATTTTCCATTGTAGTTCTAATAGATTATGTTTTAAATTTCTCTTAGAATACTTAGTTCACTTATTAGGATTTTTTACATAGTCTATTAAGCGGCGTGAGTCAATATTTATGTTTTCACTTTCACTTACATCACTTTATCTTCTATCACTTTGAACAAAAACTTTGAATTCGTAATTAGTGGAATTTTCAGGAAAAGCTCTTTTGTAATTTGGTTTAAGATAAGGAATATAGTTCTAACTTTCTTCATTACTATTTCTTTCTTCGTTTTTTCTTCATAATAAACATAAAATAAAAATAATCTTTGTAAAGACTGCAGTTATAACTTCAAAAGCCCGCCCTCTTACGATCATATCACAAATTAGAAAGGACCTTAACTGAGTACAATAAAAATACAACCTAAGGTTGTCTTTGTCTATGTTTGCCTCTCAAAAGGTTTGCACCGTTTAATTAATTAATTTATTCGTGAGCATTGGATAAAGAGCCATCAGCATAAACAAGTAATAATTAATTAAAACGCAAAACGAACTAATACTTATACTAAAAACTGATTTGTGAAAAAAACTGTAACTACGTATTATATATACCTTCACCACTAAGAACTTTTTTCTTCTAAAAAAAAAACTCATTATCCTGCATTGCAGTCGGCCTTGACGTCGGCCACGTAATGCAAGATTAATGTAGGCGCTGCATATTAGCCTTCTTGTAATCCTGCAATGCGTCCTGCGAGACTCCATACGTGGGGCCATAAAACGGCCCATTCACTACCTGCATGGCAGTCTGACGCGCAGGCAGGAAACTGCTCACACTGTCTTGCGTATAACCAACTTAAGATTGTAAAGCCTCGCAGTACGCATTGCAGGATTGCAGGATGGCTTGCACGCTGCGACTACATTCATAATCCTGCATTACGCGGCGAACGGCAAGATGGACTGTAATGTACGATAATGAATGCCCCCTTTAAGCGGGATAGTATGTGACTGAAAAGGACTGCCATGCAGCACGTATTCCATGGGCCGTTTAAAAACCCAAAAAACCACTTTTAAACATGTTAGGCTCAATGTCTTTGTTAATTATTAAATATCTAAAATTGTATTAAATTATATAAACCTCTTATTCTTCTAATCTTTTTTTTTAGATGTTAATTTAGGCTTCCAAAATTGTGAGTGCCTTTTGCCGTTCATTTGACCGTGGCACAAACACAAACCGTGAAGCGACTAGTAAAAAAAAATTTAAATATTTGGAAAAATTGTGATGGAATTGGAATCTCCTTTCATATTTATTTCACCTTTTCAATTAACTTTTTTCATAGAAATAACATTTAGAAAAAATGTTTCAACAAGGAGATGTAAAGTTAGAGACTAATATAATACGAAATAAGTCCATTTGTTGTGGCTGTTTGAGCTCAGATAGAAATCTGCGGGAATTAGGCGAATTTTTAGAATTGTTTACCAAAATTAACGAAAATGTGGTTTATGTAAGTATTATTTAATTTAATTAGATATTTCGTTGAACGTCTTCATGTATTTTTTGTTTATATTCAATGTTATTATTGAAAAAGTTATATGAGACTGTTGTTTAGATTAAATGAAATTTAAAGAAACCACATTTTTTAAATGGTGTAATAGAAAAAAAAAGTGGTTTTTAAGAGGGTGATGTGAATAAAATAGAGATGGGTATGCTGAGTTAGTTTGGACATGCGAGGGGATGAATGAAAGAAATATATAGAGCTAACATAGAAGGCATAATTGGAAGAGAACGGCCATGGAGAACATTCTCAGATCATATTGAGAGTGTTCTTAAATAGGTTGAGGTGCATAGTGAGAGGGCTTGTATGGAAATATTGAAGAATGTAGTAAGGCAAGAGAGGTTAGTCAGGATAGTTCTGAGTAGCGATCGATAGTCTCTGCCTATCCCAATGGGAATCTAATCATAAAACATTCTCTTTATGATATAGTGACAAATATAGAGAAGAGAGTGCCTAGGTTTTTTAAATTAAAATAAGTGTACATTTAACTTCTAACTCTTTAAACTTTGACTATGTGGGGTGCACACTATTATGTTTCTGGAATGAAGAAGAAAAAAATACTATAAATGGTCAGAAAAGAATTTATTGTTTCTCAAAATATTCTCCGTTAGTGTTAATGCACTTTTGCATACGAATGAACCAATTTTGAAAACATTTATGCCACTCCTCCGTGACAATCTCTGAAACATATTTTTCATACTCTTCGACAGCCTCTTTAGGTGATGAAAATCATTGACCATGTAACTGTCTCTTAATTTTTGGAAATAAATAAAAGTCACAAGGTGCCAGGTTGGGATTGCTCATAAGGTCAACATTGTTCGCCTTCAAATATTAATTTGTCTGTCTGGCCGTGTGAGAACTGGCATTATCGTGATGCAAGATGATACGGCGTTTACGATTTTTTTACGGAGTTTGTCAATAACTTCCAGCAAACAAATGGTTGTGTACCAATCACTAATCACGGTACAACGATTCTCCAAAGCAACAGCAGCCATGTGTCCAGTTTTATTAAAAAAAGAAGCTATCGTCCGCTCAGAGGCACTTTACACGCGCGCCACTTTGGTTGGTTTCGGCTCATCTCGAAAGACTCATACGCTCGATTCCTGCTTTGTTTTGGGATCGTAACTATAAATCCATATTTCGTCACCTGTTACTATGTCCCACACCAAACTTGACGCCCCTTCGTTGAATCTGGTAAGCCTAAAGTTGCCCGAATCTCATGGTATGTCACATGCCTGTCTGTTTTGATCACACGGCGCACAGCTACGATGTTTTTGCTGTTCACAGCAGTGGACGGGCCACCATCAAGAAGTTCGTCACTGAAATTCATACGACCGTGTTTGAATTTCTTTAAACCAGCTATAAATAGTCGTCGCGGCGATGAAGCACCAAGCAAAAGCTTCATCGCCAAAAGCAGTTTGAAGCCGAGCGAAACTCCGCTGAGCTGTTAAATTACATTTAAAGTCGTAGAAAATCGTACTACAAAAATTTTCACGATTTAAATCCTCTTCGGTCCACTGGCATTATTCGTCTACTTTCCCGATCAGTCCACTTGTTTTTCCCAATTCGTCTATTTCCCATGTCGTCTACTTTCCTGTTTGGTCTACTTCCCCATTGCGTCAACTTTCCCGATAGGTCTACTTTAACGATGCGTCTACTCAGACAATTTCATTACAGAGTACTAAAAAAACTTACCTCAAAAGCTCGTGGAATTACGTCTATTAGCCAAGTTTTATTGAAATCAGTTACCGGAAAGCGCGCGAATCCGGATTGACGCCCTAGTTTGCCACCCTTAGAGATGGAATATTTTCTTCATATTTAAATGCACCACTACTGAGGTACTCTCTTTTCAACAAAAAAAAATCATCAAAATCGGTTCCCAAATGCCGTTGAGTTATCGCGTTGCATACTTAAAAAATATACACACAATTCAATTGTGAACTTCCTTCCTTCCTTCCTTTTTTTGAAGTCGGTTAAAAACAAACTGTCTCCTTGATTTTGTTTTTTCAAATCATGGTTAACATAAAGTAACATATCAATATCAAAAGTATAAAATCTGCAATTATGCAATTATAAACTGCCGTTGAAAATTTGTAAAACTAATTTTTTATTTTATTTTATTAACTTACATAAAATTTTATTAACTTGCAAAATGGACTATTTGGACCAATCGGATCGGACAAGTGAACCAATCGGGAAAGTAAATGAAATGGGAAATAGAATCGGGAAAGTAAATGACAGATGAAACAAACTGTATTCTACAGCCAAAGAGTTCTATTTTCAAATGTTGTAATTACTTTTTAAATATTGTTTATGTAAGTGGCCAGTTCCGGAAACTTATAGTGCGCCCTATGTATAAACTCATTTGACCTATTATAAGAATCTTTTCTATTTTTAAATTCTTCTATATTGTTATTATTGCTTTTGTTCATAAAATCGTCTACAGTGGAATGCTGTGTACAGTTATAATTGGAATGCAGATTTACTGATGTTTCTTTTTGAAATAATATTGTTTGAAAATGGGATGAGCCTCCACTGAAATAATCTTAATAGTTTTGTCCGCAAAACGGGTTTCCAATCAACCTTGCCAGCAGCTTGAGGCGGTTATACTTTGTGACGTATCGCTTCCGTCGAAGGCCATCCTACTATCCATAATAATAATAATAATATTACAACAACAACCCTCAGGGGATTGCTGGGGCTGTTTCGACACTGTAGTGCCTCAGGGATGTTCGCAGAGGCTAGGGTTGTTGGTTTTCAGGTAGTCAGAATGGCATCCTTGTTGGCCAGAGTGATTGGCAGCACTAACAATTCTCTTAAGGTAGTAGCAGAGAGGATGGACAGCCCATTCCTTATGTATTGGATGTCCATCCTTGTTCATGAAAATGAACACTTTGCATTCTACTAACGTAGTCGGAAGTACCAACCTGCTAACACTATATGGACATGTAACTGCAACTACTCTCTGAAATAAATTCTCTCATTTCATGTCATTACAGTACCTTCAATCTGGCTGGCAGTACCTTCAACCTTCGGAAGGTTGGATTTTAGAAAATAGTTAAGTTAGGATTGTTCCTAGCACTATTTTGAAAAACTAAATCAATAAAAGCATTGTTTTTGTTTCAGGTAAACGAACACATAATGTTATGTTGGGAATGTATGGCATTGTTACGGAAAGTAAATATATTTAGGCATAATGTTGCTGCGGCTCAGATGGTACTCAGCTATTATTATGACGTAGAGGTACGTTTTATGATTTTATTTCCTTTTACGACCTCTGTGGTCCAAGGGCTTGGACACCGCCTGACATGGTATCGCCATCTCTGAGATCCCGGGTTCCATGCCCAATCAGTCAATGTAAAAAAACTAAAGATTTTCGATTTTTTTTAACGAGATAATTGACACGACCATGGCGGATTCAGCTCAAGTTTGCAGAACTCCGTGAACTGTTGGCACACGTACCGCGCAAACTAAGCACTTCTACTGTGTTTATTGTTCTGTGCGCCAATTTTTGCTGTTGCGCCAATGACAAGTTAAGGAAGACACGCGTTTATTAAAGAAATGGGAATAAAGACTAACATGTACTTATACAGATTTTTAAATTAATTTAAATGTGGGAACCTGAAAGGTTTATCATACCTGCTATAAGAAAGCAGTATAATAATAGGAATGTGACAAAACACCCCTATAATTTTGTTTCAAACTAGGATGTTTTCCGTGCTGTGAGTACCAGAGAAATGATGTTAACTGGAGGCAATATCTGGATCACCCAGACTAGCTTTGGCTCATGGAAATTTATATCCATACATAAAAAAAATATTTTTCAGAATACTTTTTCAGGATTTTTTTTATTGTATATTTTTGTTGTTTTCTCAAAAATATTTAGAAATATTTCCATTTCAAATTTCAAACTTTTCGGACAAACATCGACTAACTCAGAAAAAGTGGTTTATCAAGTAGAAGAGTACCAGAAGTTGAATCTGGAATCTCCTGCTCAGTGCTAACTGTTGGGCTACCAATGTTGACATTAGAAAATAAGTTTTTATAATATAATAAATAAGCATTTAACATCAATAAATAATTTCTATTAACTGAAAAATCGGCTATCAAATTATCAATTTTCAGAATCCACCCCAAACATTATCAAAACTATCAATTTTAAAACTACACGATGAAGAAGATAAACTACAATTAGAAATAAAACCACAAATTGAAGAACAATTCCCAAATGTCAAGGAGTCAAATGGAGAACATATTAACCTGTCAATAGAAGTCCAAGTGAAGCAAGAAAATGAGGATAACTGTGTGGATGATATTTTCAACGATGGATGCTCTATTGACTATGGCATAGAGCTGAATAATATTCAAGATATTAAACAAGAGGTAAGTATAGTCTGTCCACAGATTTCTATATTTCATGAACTGGATTGCGCACTTCGATATACCAATATTCCAAATTTGCACCTTATTGGGTAATGTTAAGGCTTAGTTTAAGTAAAAGTAAAAAACCGAGTCACGTGAAATAGCTTGAAGTAGTGATCTGTCCTTTTCTAACAAGTTGCTTACGCTAAATAAAATCATCTTAGGTAGTGTCTATATAAGCTTTTTTAAATTTTGATTAAATAAAATTAGCTTAGAGGTAAGTAATATCCTTTTACTTTAATAATTAAAAAATATTTATTAATATTGAAACCATCTATTACGAAGTAGCATATAAAATAAATATAATATATCAAACAAATAATAATAACTTGTATTATGAAATAATATTAGTAGTTTTGGTCATCCATAAGCGGCTACATTTTCTGTAAAAATTAAAAAGTTAGGAACAATATGGCTGTTAGAAAGAGACGCATTACTACTTTGAAGCCTCTCACTCGGCTCGTTTTATTAACTTAGTGCGTGGTCCAGTTTCATATACAAGTCCGTGAGTCTGTCTTTTTTGAAGATGGAGTAAAATGACATTTGTAGGGTATCCAGTTTTCATCAAATTTTAAATAGTTATGTAGTTGTCGATCATTTTTTATCGATGCATTGTGAAAAAAGATAAAATTTTGCCAAAAATGACTGAATTGTGAATGTTACGACGTCCTAATGATTACTCGTTACGTTACAGCCTTCTTTATTTTTATTTTTACAGTTTAATAGTTTATTTTTACGGTTGAATAATGGGTCGAGATTGATTCAAATGAAAAAAATTAGGCTATTTATATATAATATAATATTCAGTCGATAGTCGATAGAATATTTATCGACTGTAATCATTATCGTATGTTCATTGCGTATGTAATCACGCAATGAACTTTTTTTTTATATTTTAATTTTACTCCGTCTTCAAAAAAGACAGACTATAACGTCCGGAATTTTTATTTTTTATATTTTTATTATAAAATAAAAAACTAAATAAATCAAATATTTTTATTTTTGTAACAATCAACATTGCTTTTGATATTTAATGCTCCCAGAAATATTGTCCAATACGAGAGGCGCTTCCCCCTTCTCGCCCCTTCATTGTAAAGTTCATCCAGGGAAGTACTGCCACCTTACCTATTTCTGCCGCTGGTTTTGAATGGTAAAGGTGCTGGTGAAATTATAGGCACAGGAGAATTTTCAACTTATGTCTCAGGGTGACGGGCGCAGTGGCAGTGCCCCTCAGATCTTTGCGATTTAAAACTCTGAGTGGCACTGCAACTGTTATGGGCAGCTGTGTCGTTTACCATCAGGCACATAACTAGTTCGTCCCTTCACTTAGTATCATAAAAAAAGTTATTGCGTTACTGCCTTTTTTATTCGAATTTTGACAGGTGGCCTACTAGTATCGAAATCACAGGCGGATTTGATTGTGCTGTATTGAATTAAAATGAAACACTTTAAAATATGTTTTCTTATTGAATTTTTAATAGACGTAGCTGTATGTATGAATTTAGAAAAATTGATAATTCATGATAATTCAAATAAACCAAGTTCTGTATATATTGCTTAAGCTATAAATAAACATATTGCTTATGCGTAACAATTTTCAGTCGATAGTCGATAGAATATTTCTGCAATCACTAGCCAGTTGCAAGTGAGCAACACTTTTTCACAATGAATTGTCATTTTACTCCATCTTCAAAAAATACAGACTATACACATTGTTATACCAAAATAATACCTAAGTAATTGAAATTCTTTGGTAACTAATTGAAACTAGGTAAATGGCGCCCAGTGGAACAGACAGTCATATACAGAGTGTTTTTTTAATGGGACCGTATGGGGAAATGCGAAACCATTGAAGATTCAAGAAAACTGTCTTAGGAACCATTAAGTCTTTTATTGTGAAAATAATTTCGGCGTAGTATTTTTTTTTTGATCATACGCGTCCATCCAAGCAATAAAAACAATAGTCGATTTTATTCATTTTGTATTAAAAATATTTTAAGAAATTTGACCAACTTCGGCTGTCCCTATTTTTTTATTCCATACAATGAAATGGGATCATTTTGATTTGGGATCTTATGAGAGTAAGTCGATTAGCATTAAAAAAGTTTTTGATACATTTTATGGACTTCTTACGCTTGACCAAAAAATTGACTATGCCAAAATTACTTTTAAAAAAAAAGACTTATGATTCCTAAGACAGTTTCATTGTATCTTCCATGGTTTCGGATTTCCCCATACTGCCCAATTAAAAAAAAACTGTATACTTTTATAATTATTAATACAAAGATCGAACACTCAGAAAAAATTCCTTCGATCCGGTCGGATTCGAACCGAAGTCTTCTTGCATACCGTGCCAGACGCTATACCAACTAAGCCACGGAACGAACCAACGGACCTCACGAATTTTTCTATGTGCTTGCGTCGTGTCTTTGTACTTGGTCTTTCAACGACTTTTTAGTCGTAGCGCCATCTATGAGAAATCTATGACAGATTTATCACCCAGTTAGTACCTTTACAGCTACCAGTCCTGGCGAGAGATGTCGCTATTCACTGTATTTAAATTTTTATTGAATTGATATTCAATTATTAATTTGTGAAATTACTCCACTAGTTTGTTATAATTATTAATACAAAGATCGAACACTCAGAAAAAATTCCTTCGATCCGGTCGGATTCGAACCGACGTCTTCTTGCATACCGTGCCAGACGCTATACCAACTACGCCACGGAACGAACCAACGGACCTCACGAATTTTTCTATGTGCTTGCGTCGTGTCTTTGTACTTGGTCTTTCAACGACAACGGATCGAAGGAATTTTTTCTGAGTGTTTTTCCTGAGTGTTCGATCTTTGTATTAATATGAGAATCTGGGTGATAAATCTATGAGAAATCTATGACAGATTTATCACCCAGTTAGTACTTTTACAGCTACCAGTCCTGGCGAGAGATGTCGCTATTCACTGTATTAATTAAATTTTTATTGAATTTATATTCAATTATTTTTTGTGAAATTACTTCACTAGTTTGTATAGTTTTATTATTTTCAGCTGCAACACATTGTCAAACCAAGAAAGAGAAAACCGAAAAATATAGGTCAAGAAAATAAATACAAAGAAATATTTATACCTGATCATAAATGTGAAGTAGTAAGACAGGAGATAAGCCAAAATGAAATTAATGATTGGTTAGAGAAGGAGAGAAACAGTCCTTATTACGAAGCAGCAAAGTTTAAATGCGACAGTTGTGCTATTATTTTGAAGTCACGAAATCGAAATACGCATTTTGACACTTTTCATAATCCGAGTAAGGTGAGTTATTTCTTGTAATATTGACGTGGTTATTATATTCTATAAACACATTACAAATAAAGCTATTTTATTGGACTTCAATTGGACGTAGTTAACCAAACAGGATGCAATCCACAAAATTATAAAAATATGAGTTAGATGTACCAAACGTTTCCTAAGGGCACACATAGACACGGTACGACGTTGCGTCGTGCTACGACGCGGTATCGTTTCACGATGCGACGTCGTATCGTGGAAATCTACGACGAGCAGCGTAAAAATTCACGACACAGCACAGTAACGTGTCACGACTCACGGCACGACGTCGCACAGGCGACATTGAGGTTAATTATTTAATAACCCTAGTCGAGGAGCGTTCTGTACTATGGGACAACACATCAGAAGAATACAAAGTTATCTTTGAATATTGAATAACAAAAGAATGCGGCACTGGGGAGCGCACCGTGAGTTTCTACGTTACGATACGGTCGTGCTGTGCGTCGTAACACGTTGCGATGTCGTATCTTGAATTTTTACGTTTCTCGTCGTAGATTTACACGATACGACGTCGTAGCACGACGCGACGTCGTATCGTGTTAATGTGTAAGAGCCCTTAAGTGTAACTTCGTAGATCAGCAAAAAAATCCAACATATAAATATAAAGAAATATCTCTCGAGTTATACGACATTATAAGTTTTGAAAATAAAACAAGTGAGAAACGCTTTTAAACCTCAAACTGCCATATCTCGAAAGTAACTGGATGTGACTTGGTTGGTCCATCAATAAAATTTAAAGTCCTCATCCCTCGTATTAGTGGTGCCCTGTTTATTTAGAAAAGTTCGTTAGCCTAATTGGCAGTGATGTAAAAAACTCGAGTCCAGGAGTCTACATTTATTAACTCGACTCAATTTTATACGGCTCAGTGGCCTAAAATATTCACGAGTCCGTGTCAAGTCGAGCGCTAGTCGTCGGAGCACGAACTCGAGTCTTAAAAGACCAGTCGTAATCACAAAACTAGATTTCGAAAACTCGAATCAAAGCGACTTCCACACTACAAAGTCGCGAGGACGACAAGCAGGGTTCAATTTTATTGAACATCTATTAATGTCCAGGAATTAAATAAAAAACATAAACTCAATATGGTGATTTATAAAAGAAAGAAGATATAATACTTAATTATATTGTAGTAATTATACTACAGTTTAACACGCCACACCACAACACCGCTCAATAGGTACTTACCAGACTCGGGCACTAATCTCGTATAACATCGAGCAGTGAGTCTCTGTCTTTATGAGTCGAGTCTTGTGAATTGGAAAATGTAGACTCCCGGATGCGGGTTTTTTACAACACTACTAATTGGTGTTACCGATAATCGAAACTGGTCCCTCCTCTTCTGCACGGGGTAATTTTTATTTATCCCGTTTTAAGAGAGTACAACCTCAAATTGCTTCGGTTAATTCCGCAAAACAGTTGAATCAATAACCTTGGAAAAAATATATAGTAAAATGACCATATACACCATTGACTTACAAATAAATGGACGACGGGTCTAATACAAAAACCACGAAAAAATGTCCCAAGTCAACCTATTTAATCGTAGTGACATGTAAAGGAATATGAAAAAGCTAAAACGTTGAATTTAAATTGTAATGTCATCGCAGTACTGTCTAATTTTGCTTGCTTCGCTGTGAGTCGAACAAACGAAGACTAAAGTGTGAATGACGCTCTGTATACGATTTTAACGCCCTATAAGTTCGGACACTTTTTACCGCGGACCCGACGTCCATATAATTGTAAGTCAATTATATACACTGATTACTATACGGTATGAAAACACGACTCCTAAATATTTTCACGATAGAAAACAAAACACAAACTTACCTCGAAATTTTACAAGAAACGGCTGTACTAAATGGGTACTTTATATTTATAACAATGATTTTTTTTTCTGTATCAACTGAATTAAACAGAACACGTATAGTATACGATGTCCTTTTTTTAAATGGCTTTGATTACGTTTGTAAAAAATAAATTTTAAAATACAGCCAGTGACCCTGCCGCTCGACTTAAGCAAAATGAACCGTATTAGTACGGCATAAATTCTAATTCGAGCTGAGGTCTTTCAAGGGAGTTGCCACACTAAATCGCATTAAGCCGGTCACACAAAAAGCTTTATTTATGTCTTATTGCAAGAACAAAGATTTTTCTGCTCAAGTCGATTACGCGTCAACATGGAGTACATTATATAACCGTAAATCGACATGAAATGTCATTTAATTTGTTTGAAAACTATTCTGCCAAATTGTTACGGTGACAACTGCGCACCGATTGACCAATTCATTCACTTCAAATTGACCAGTTTAACTTGAGCTTTGCAATAATGAACGAAAAATGAACAATCACATATTTAATTACCGATGAAATGTGACTCCGTTTGTTTTGTAATTAGATGTTTTGCTGTTTTTTCCACACCACCGAATAGAACAGCACGGATTGTTAGAGATATTATCTTTATTACAATAAATACAGAATATTTTTTGGAATATACGGAGACGTACACACAGGTCAGTTGTTGGCGCTGTACTATTTCAGCTTTCTAATAAAGTTTTATTTGATTTTTTACAGTACAGCAACCCGTACAAATGCGATATATGCCAGTGCATTTTCTCTAAAAAGTCAACCGTATCTCATCACATTAAAGAACATCGCTACATATACACTTGTACAACTTGCGATGTCACTTGTGTATATAAACAGAGTATGAGAAACCATTTGCTGGCACAGTCAAGAAAGATGGTTTACCAGTGTTTGCTGTGTCCCGGGAGATACAGGTACGGGGTATTGAATTTTAATTTATTGTCTGCCTTTTTTGAAGATGGAGTAAAATGACAGTTAAAAAAAATGCGCAAAAGTGTTGCCCGCTTGCAAGCATCTAGACTATCTGAAATACAATTTGTGGTGGAATTACGGGCATGTGGGACTTGTCAACTTATGTCTCAGGGTGACGGGCGCAGTAGCAATGCTCCTCAGATCTTTGCGATTTAGAGCTCTGAGTGGCACTGCAACTGTTATGCACAGGCGTGTAGCTTACCATCAGGCGTACGACTTGTTCGTCCCGTCTCTTGGTATGTATATAAAAATAAAATAAAAAAAATACAAGTAGAAGACATATTTTAAAGTTTTAAGGGTGCCTGTAATTTCACTAGCACCCTCAACCTTCAAAACCGAAACGCACTAATGCTCACATTACTGCTTGGCGGCAGAAATAGGTCAGGTTGGCAGCACTTCCCTGTACGAGGTCTTCTGCTACTAAAAGGTTTTAGGCATTGCATTGCATGCGGTAGAGCTAGTAGTAAATAAATGTTTCTTATTTTGTTTCAGTAGTAGAAGTCTTTTCTTCAGACATTACAAAGAAGCCCATCGCCATTTTGTTTGCGATTATTGCAATTCTAAATATAAATCGAAACGGATGTTGATTAAACACATTATAACGTAAGTATTTATTTAGTTGCTATCAATAGGTAGACTCCATACTTATTGACGCGCATCGAGTATATAACCAGAAATAGAGACGAAATAAGGGCCATCCATCTCTGGCAAATGAGCCTTATATCTCTTTTAAATATCAACTCTCGTTTGCGCTGAAATTACAAATTAGAAAACTGAAATACAGTACAGCACCAACTACTGACCTGTGTGTACGTCTCCGTATATTCCAAAAATATTCTGTATTTATTGTATATAAGGATTAATATCTCTAACTATGTGGGGCTGTTCCATTCGGTGGTGTGGGAACAAAACAAACGAAAACACATTTCATCAGTAATTAATTAATTTCAGTTTTCGTCCATTATAGCAAAGCTCAAGTTAAACTGGACGTTTTGAAGTGAAACAATTGGCCAATCGAAGCGCAGTTGTCACCGTAATGATTTGGCAGAATAGTTTTCAAACATATTAAATGACATTTCGTCTCTATTTCTAGTTATATAATGTACTCAATGTTGACGCGTAATAGACTTGAGCAGAAAGTTTTTTGTTCTTGCAATAAGACATAAATAAGGCTTTTTGTGTGACCGGCTTAATGCGATTTAGTGTGATAACTCCCTTAAGAGTCGATACTATCTCAGCTCGAATTAGAATTTATGCCGTACTATACTCCATTCACCGAAACGAGTTGGTAGAGCGCTATCCCTCTCGCACAAAATTTTAACTGTGATTGGTCGGCGATAATGACTAAGGCAGTGTACACAGTGCGAATATTTTTAGTCTACTCGTGCTTTCCGTGCTGTGCAGACGCGTTCTTTATTGCAATATTTGCTCAATAGATTTTCTCAAACTGTGACCCGGCGTGTATATGGACTTTGTGATAGATTGTTTTGTGACGACTTGGCGACTTGTAAAACGGACATTTGATTGCGTAGTGACAATGGCGGATCTATTAAATAATGGATCTATTGGAAAAAGAAAACGGCGGGCTTTTTCGTCTACCGAAAAAGCTATGATTTTGCATAGTTTTCATACCAAGATTAATGAAAACCCTTCGGCCTCGACCGGTCAAATTTTGAAAAGTGTTGCAGATGAAGTAGGTGTGCACTCGATGTCGGTCTATAGAATTATAAAAGAGCAGAAGGATTGTGGTGTGCTTAAATCGCCCAAAAAGTCGAAGAAACGCGTGCCAATCGTCGATAAGGTCGATGACTTTACGAAAACTTCTATCCGATCTATAGTGCATGGTTTCTTCGCGGAGAATGAAATACCTACATTAGACAAGATTTTAAAGAAAATAAATGATGATGGTACTTTGGGCACTATAAAGAGAGGGACGCTACATAAAATACTAAAAAAAATTGGTTTCAAGTACAACAAGAGAAACAGAAATAGCATGTTGCTAGACCGTGATGACATATTTTTTTGGAGAAGAAAATATTTACGGTCTATCAAAACCGCTCGAGAAAATAATCAAAAAATTTATTACTTGGACGAAACATGGGTGAATGAAGGTCACACTACTTCAAAGGCATGGACCGATACAACAGTGAGAAATAGTCGGGACGCTTTCATTAATGGATTAACGACTGGCTTAAAAACACCTTCAGGTGTGTATTTATTTTTTCATATCACCTATTAATGACATACACTGTTATCTATCTCTCTTTGTGTCATTTGGTGTTTGGAATTGCATTGTACTGTAGCGCAGCTGCGCTAATGACTTGTTTTATGTAGGAGCGCCAGTGATGGTGCTATTGTACATTTTTTTTATCTTATTGTTTAATGCGCCCAGGTGTGCTAAAGATATTTTTGTATTTAATTTTGTATGTTTTTATTACAGGGAAGGGCAAAAGACTTATCATCACGCACATCGGGAGCAAAGACGGGTTCGTTGAAGTTGGTCTACACGTCTTTGAATCTAAAAAACAAGGCGATTACCATAAAGAAATGAATTCCGAAGTTTTTGAAAATTGGTTCAGCGAAGTTTTAAATAAACTCGAGGACAATTGTGTGATAGTTTTAGACAACGCCTCGTACCACTCTAGAAAAGTTGAGCAAGTACCAACAGCAAAATGTAAAAAACAGGAGATTATAAATTGGTTACAAACTAAAGAAATTAGCTTTGATGATGGTATGTTGAAACGAGAATTGTTAAATATTGTTAAAAATCATAGACAGCGGTACGAGGCGTGCATTATAGATGAATTAGCCAAATCTCAAAATAAAACTGTATTAAGACTCCCGCCGTATCACTGCGAACTGAATCCAATAGAATTAATTTGGGCTCAAGTGAAGGGTTACGTAGCTGCCAATATGAAAACTTTCAAAATGGCGGAATTGAAAATTTTATTAAATGAATCTTTGCAAAATATTGACGCAGAAAAATGGCAAAAATGCATAGGGCATGTTACGGAAACAGTTGAGCCCAAAATGAACGCTATGGACCATAATGTAGAAGCAATAACTGAAAGTTTAGTAATAAATGTAGGAAATGACAGCAGTGATTCGTCGGAGAGTGAAATGGAATACTGATATGATATGACAATTTAATTCGATTTTTTAATTTAATTTCATGTGATTGTTTTAATCTACAATTAATAAATGTGATAGATAAAAACCGTTTTTCTTTTCATAAATATTTTGTAAACAATATAAAAAACGTATGTATAAACGAGTGAAAATTCATTCAATTAGCTTAATTATTTAAAATGCACAATTTGTGTAAAAAAAAACGTAGTCTAAAATATGTCGCTCTGTGAACGCGCCTTTACTTTTCTACGGTTTTGTTTACGCCCACTGATCATTTCCTGTCCTTGTCATTTGTATGAAAAATTCAGACAGAGAAAGCGCTCTACCAACTCGTTTCGGTGAATGGAGTATAATACGGTTCATTTTGCTTAGGTCGAGTGGCAGGAACGCTGGCTTTATTTCAGAATTTATTTCTTTACATACGAAAATAAAGCTCTTTGAAAAATATATATCGTATACTATACGTGTTATATTTAGGTCAGTTTATATTAAAAAAATCATTGGTATATATCGACCCCTCCGACGTGAAGTATCGTATGTCGAAATTGCCAAGTTTACAGGGAAGCGTTTTAAAGTTCTGAATTCACTGAAACGAACATAACACGTGACTTTAGCATTTCTCAGTTTTATTCGGCAAAGCTCATTACTCACATAGAGTATTATAAAATCCTAGATATCGGTTAAATGATCTATGGTGATCACTCTTTCAGTGAATTCAGAACTTTAAAACGCTCCCCTGTAAACTTAGCAATTTCGACATACGATACTTTACGTAGGAGGGGTCGATATATGTAAGTAACTTTCAAATACAGCCGTTTTGTTGTAAAATTTCGAAGTAATATTTGTTTTTTTTCTAGCGTGAAAATTTTTAGGAATTGTGTTTTCATACCGTATAGTAATCAGTTTATATCCTCAATTTTACTGTATATTTTTTCCAAAGTGATTGATTCAACCCTTTCACTGTCATGCGGAATCATCGAGTATGTAATCAGAAATAAAGACGAAATGTTACTTAATTTGTTTGAAAACTTTTCTGCCATATCATTACCGGTGACAACTGCGCACAGTGTTTCGAAATGCCTTCGGATCGGACATTTTGAGTCAAGCTTAGCAAGGAATACGTGTTAATATTCTAAACGCAGGACGTAAACTCCCGTGTGCCAATTTTGTATAGTTTTGGTTGGTTTGGTTTGGTTCACAAAATTTCAGGCGTTCTAAATTTAAAAAACTTTAGACGCGCATATCCCCAATGTCTCACGGCACTAAAATCTGCTTTTTTTTTTTGTAGAATAGTATGCATGGTTAACTATTTATTTTAATAATTTCTGGGCGCGATGGACGCGAAATAAAGAAAAAAATATATAACCGTTTTAAGGAAATTCTCGATTTTCGTAACTTAGGGTTGTATTTTGGAAAAGCGGCAAAGTTACTTGAATAATGCTTGAAATTCCTATTAAAATAGTGTTTTTAAATATTAAGTGGTATTTTCATTTTTTGAGTTATAATCATTTTTGTAATTTCTAAGTATAAAAATCGAAGAACTTTGAGCTGAGTTTTCTCCAAAACTATACAAAATTGGCACACGGGAGTTACCGTCGTGCGTTTAGAATATTAACACGTATTCCCTGCTAAGCTTCACTCAAAATATCCGATCTAAGAAGGCATTTCTAAACACTGTGCTGCGCGCCGGTTGGCCAACCCGAATTCGAAACAATTGTCCGGTGTCGTCAATTGTTTCACTTCAAATCGACCAGTTTAACTTGAACTTGGCTATAATGGACGAAAAGTGAAAAATTACATATTTAATTACCGATGAAATGTGATTCAGTTTGTTTTGTAATTAGATCTTTTGTTGTTTTTCCCACACCATCGAATGGCACAGCCTCCCCATTGTTAGAGATAAAAACTCATCAGTAGAACAAAGATCTTTGGCAAGACTATTTGTTCTCAGGGCATAATACATTTCGTTCGTTCTTCTTCGCTGTGAATGTCAGATCGACCGTTGTTCGATTTTACATTTCCGAAACGAAATAAGATATAAACACCTTTACATAGGCCTTAGTTTGAATAACGAAATTATTCTCGCAACGTACTTATTCTCTTTTCGCTATTTAATCACATCGGACTCTGTTCTTCGGATGTGTCGATATTATCTTTATTACAATAAATACAATATTTTTGGAATATACGGAGACGTACACACAGGTCAGTTGTTGGCGCTGTACTATTTCAGCTTTCTAATTTGTGATTTCAGCGCAAACGAGAGTTGATATTAAAAAGTGATATAAGGCCCATTTGCCCGACGAGTTGCCAGGGATGGATGGCCCTTATTTCGTCTCTATTTCTGGTTATATACTCGATGTCCGGAATCAACCAAAGCCACGTGAAGTAGTATAGACTCTTAAAGGTCGAGTTTAATTTCAATCCGATTATAGCAATTAAATTTTAAAATTAGATTTTTGTCCGATTTTTTCCGTTGGTCCACTAACTAAAACGCGGCTAAATGAGAAACGGTCAAATATCCTTTTTATTTTATTAGAAAAAAAATAATGCACAAAATTCTCTTTTGAAAACAATTGAAATCAGTTAAGTTATTGAACAATTTCAATATTCTACAACTGGGTTATGGCTTTTTTATGATATTTCTAAAAAATATTTTGTCACTAAGCCTCGTTTTAGTTGGCGGTCGTCAGATTTGTCTGACCTAAATTTCCAGTGGTTTGTCACCTTTGTGTGTTACTTATAGAAACCATTACACGCCTAAATGTCACATCTGCAACATAACGTTTAAAAAATATCGAATCCAGCAAGAGCACATGAATAGGCAACATGTCTACGCGCCTACAGAAGCAAATTACTGCGCGCCGTGTGACAAGCAGTTCGCCAACGACGCTCAGTACCGGTATCATATTTCCACAAGTGTTGCTCATTCTCGAGAAAGGCGAACAAAGTAAGTCCACGTCACAAATATATCTTATTTATTTTTATTGAATATCATGATGTTGAAATTTTTATTGAATTGATATTCAATTATTTTTATGTGAAATTACTCCACTAGTTTGTTATAAATTAATTATTAATTACAAAGATCCAACACTCAGAAAAAAGTCAGGGCTGATAGCTGTAAAGGTATCTAACTGGGTGACAAAATACTTAAGATTTCTCATAAGTGGTAACGCCACTTATGAGAAATCGATCGAATCGACTTCAGGCTAAAAAGTCGTTGAAAAACCAAATACAAAGACACAACATCAAACAGATAAAAAAATTCGTGAACTCCGCTGGTTCGTTCAGTGGCTTAGTTGGTATAGCGTCGCACGGCACGGTATGCTAGAAGACGTCGGTTCGAATCCGGCCGGATCGAAGGAATTTTTCTGTGTTCGTTCTTTGTATTAATAATTGATGTTTTTTACTACTATCCATTTTTACTGTTGCTCTATTGTACCTACATAATCTATGTAAAATTTACGTACGGGGACCTGGTGACCTGTGTGATACGTGCATTTTTATGCCTATCTCAAGTACCAGTTTCTCGCAAATTAGGTTTAATGTAGAAAGAAACTCATTAGTCAGTAAGTCATTTATACAATTTTTCTTGTATGCTGAGAGAAAATAAATAATTAATTATTATTATTATATGTGTAAATACGGCTCTATAATTTTTGCAGCATGAAGAAGAAGGAGAAGGTAAAGTGTCCGCAATGTCCAAACTTGTACCACAGGAGGAGCTGTATGATGAATCATTTCCGGCACGTGCACTTGAAGCAGACCAAGTACTTCTGCAGTATCTGTGAAAGGGTATTTACTTATTATGTTACTTGAGCCTCGGTAGTTTGTTTGCATGCGAAAATAGTGGCTGGCCAGTCCCTATTTTGTTGATCCCGTTTTTGTGAAAACCTTTCATTACTAAAACCTACCCTGATGTTCCGGAAATGGTACACCTTTGTGTCGGGTGGCTGAACATAATACTTGGTCCACTGGGTCACTGAGGATTTAAAGGACAACTTGGACATAGAGAGGGAACGCAGGTCGCTGGCTGTCCGCTGTAACACGCTGGCCCGAAGGTTTGCGATGTATACAAAACCAGTTAGAATTTCGCTTTTCAAAGCATACTGCCAATCATTCTACACCTGCAGCCTCTGGGTCGATTCAGGGTTCTGTTGGGGCTGCCGTGGCGTTGCAGTATTTCGGAGATGTTTGCGGAGGCGCACGCGGTTAAACCTCTGTGCTACAATGAGAAGACGTTGAGCTTCCTTGCTAGCCCGCCTCCGCGGTAGCACCAACGGACCCCAATGTTACAGAATTTTTATTTCAAGTCTACTAACATTAGTCCTAAGATAATTTGTTACTAACACTATGGACAAGATTCCATTATTATTATATTATGATTTTTTTGACGGGACTTGAACCAACGTCCATGCTGCACCGTAGCATTGCTGTAACCAACTGAGCCACGGGTCCAGTTACCGAATCGTCTAAATAATTGCTACAAAAACATCACGCGAAGCTCAAAACAACAGAAAACGACTCGCGTACAAGGTGCATGCCCTCGTATTGGCGGTGGGTAAACATAGCTTAATAGATTTACCTATATATATATATATATATATATATATATTCCGTTTTACGCATTAAGTGATTGGGGCAATTTATTTTTATCTTTATCATTTAATTTTCTTTCTACTTAATATATTGTAATTTTTATTAAAATTACAACTGTATCAAATATTGTTTCTTTCTGGTACATTATGACAAATTTCCAATTAATTTTATAACCTTGTTGAGAGATTAGTTAGAAATAGTATGCGTGTAACGTAAAAATTTAAAATGTCACACAACTTATCCTATGTGAAATAGAAAGGCATCGAAATGTTGTCTAGCTTTTAAACGCCATAGGATCGCAAGAACAAGCAATATGCGGGCAGCCGGTACGGACTGCCGTTGCCTGCACGAATAAAGAGCTCTTTAGGTGATAATGCATCGGCTTTGCTGATTGAAGAATGTTGTTGCAGTACTTCTTGAACAGCACGCGGTTGATTGACCACCGACGCGAGAAACACGAAGGATATGTGCCCGTGAAGGACAAACTATGCAACATCTGTGGCAGAGGATTTTCTGTAAGTATCCAAAAGGAGGTTCTCAATTCGACGGAATTTTTTTTATATGTATATTAATTTGAGATCCGATTTTGACGAATCTTTTTTTTTTGGAAAGAGTGTACCTCAGGAGTTGTCCCATTTAAATTTGAAGAAAATATTCCACCTCTAAGGGTGGCAAACATAGTCTGTTCCAATCCACTTTGAACAAAAGGTAAACAAAACTGTTTGGTTAAAATTCTAAAGTAACCACTCAATAAATTGAATAAGTAACACTTCAACGTATATTTCCAAGATTTCGACATATCATTTTTTCCAACAATATTCAATTGAATAGCAAAGTAAAATTGTATTTGAAAAATGGTAGTCCAAAAGTGAGGTTATATTTCATCTACACTTCTATGACTTGCCTATGGTTGCATAGTGCTGTTCGAAAAAAAACATTCGGTTCAATCAATTAAAGTTTGGTAATCAATTATTAAATCGAATATTTCAAATGCAATCGAACGAGTATCTAAGGGTCGTATTCCAGAACTCTACTCAATACTCAAGTCAGGACTCGAGTATTGCAGTGAGCACTGAAAATCATACTGAAGTCCTTGCCATTATGGTCGTATTTCCAGTGCTTGAAATCATACTCAAGTCTGCTCAAATCCTGACTTGAGCATTGAGTAGAGTTCTAAAATACGACCCTAAGCGTAATCCTTATTTGAAATTTTAAATATGCTTATATAGGTTATGTAAGGAAAACCGCTAATATGGCTCAATTGAACAAATCGTTTCATTCAATTATTTAATCGATTTGTAGTTGGCATTACAATTGGCCATCACTAAACCGTTTATGGTCGGGTCAGTGACTTGTTTGTTTAAAATGGATTGAAACGAAGTATAGGGGATGAATTACTTTTGAGGTCGGTTTTTTTAGTACTCTGTACTGAGATTGTTTATAGGCTGCTACAAGAAGTATGTCTGTGACGTTATGGGGGTGAAAATCCAATGTTATTGCACAACTTTTTTCCGAGGAATCCATGTGTATTCGTGAAAATAATGTTGAAAAAGATTTATATTTGTGGCAGCATCGCCCCCAAACGGATGGACATTTTTTTCATTTAAAACGGCCTCCGTAGCCCAATGGTTACCATGCTGGTCTGCCACGCAGGGGCCACTTGTTCTACTCTCTGGCCAGGAGAAATATACGTACGGAGAGGAAAAATATATAGATTTATTTCTCTCGTGAGTTTGAGTGTAATTTGTAGTTATCTGTTTGTGTGCTTCCATGGTATCCGCGATACACTTATAGCAGGGTTTCTTAACCTTTTTCTAGTCATGGACCCCTCGCAAAATGGCAAAGAGCCCACGGACCCTTTCCGTAAAGATAAAAAATAGTATAATAAATATCTACCTTTGTAGTAGAATAGTAGATAGTTTGCGATTAAACTTTACGATTTAATTTTAGTATAACGTATTTTTCTCATTTGCAGACCAATCGCATTCTGACAAATCACATACGAACTCACACCGGGGAGCGTCCTTTCCAGTGTAACCTATGCGATTCAAAATTCACGCAAAAAGTAGCACTCAATTCTCATGTTAAGTTTATACATAAGAAGTTTCGCAGGAACACTCGGCACGTCGACGGCAATCAATGTAAATAAAATAACTTTTAAACAGTAGTTATTTATTTCTCTACAGGTTTATGGGTCAACAAGTTGGCCCTTGCATTGTGTCACCGTTTCTAAGTCCAAATAACTTGTCAGACTTTACAATATGTATATACAATAAATATACAGTGAGAAACCCACCTGGCGCAGTTCTCCATTTATCACTTCCACTCCCTAAGCGCGTTTGTAAATGGCGTGCAAAAAATTGGCGCCCAATGTGTAACCAAAATGTTGGCGTCCAATGTGGGACCACAAATGTTGGCGCCCAATGTGGGACCGAAATTAGGAACGTATTAGTATTATTTACGCCTTTTCATGCCCCTGTGCACCAATTTGTAGTGTGTGTAAAGCGCTGGACGCTGCTTGAATGTGTCGCCGCAGTCTTCGCACATGAATGACCTTTGTTCCGAGTGAGTCAGTTGGTGCCCTTTTAGAGTTGAGAGGGTCTGGAAATTTGAAAGAGGTTTTTAAGAGGTTTTTTCGAAAGGTGTTGAAACTGTATTTTCCTGACTAGTGCAATAATTTGTACACTTTACTCATGCACTCCAATAAAATAACATCATACAGAAAATAAAATTGTCTAGATTAAAAAGTTAATTTTAGAAGAATTACTTCAAAAAGTAGATATAATTACTGCTAGCAGACTGCACTTGCAGTTGGCAGTATTATCTACCATAGACTAGATATGAGCGCCGATAATAGACCAACTGGCGGCGGCGCGCCGACGAAATAAGAGTCGGCGGCGATGGCTGCGTAAGCGCGACCATGAAACGAATTTGTGTAACGGTGTTTGTTTTTACAATACAATAACGTATTTTCTATGGTAATCAAATTTTTATCACTTCGATTAGACTCTCCGATCGTACGCACGCACACGCTTCCGTATTGTGCATGCGTTCACTGCGCATACACAAATTTTCAAATAGCGTCGCCAGAAATCGACAAATTAATGTTCTAAACAAAACATCTTCGAATATAAAGTCACCAAGTTTTATCTCAGAAATGTCAATTTCGGACGTCGACATTTTCACTACGTATACACAATACAGAAGCGTGCGCTTGCGTACGATCGGAGCGCCTGATCGAACAGGACTGAACGGCGCGCCGATTGCATTTGTCGACGGCGGCGGCGGCGCGAGGGGAAACGAGGCGACGGCGGCGCGCCGATGCGGTGCTCATATATCTACCATAGACTAAGATTCATAATGATTGGAAGAGGCGGCTATTCGTCGTCAATGGCACAGTCGACCGGGCACAGATAGACAAGAAATTTGTGCAGCAATCACTTGTGGCCTTATGACATCTAGTGTGCGATTATATATTATCGGAATATATCTTTTTTTATGATAGTGACGGGACGAACTAGTCGTGCCGCCTCGTGGTAAGAGACACGCCAGCCCATAGCAGTTGCAGAGTTTTAAATCGCAAAGATCTGAGGGGACTGCCACTGCGCCCGTCACACTGATACATAAGTTGACAAGTCCCATGTGTCGCTGTAATTTCACTAGCACCCATACCCTTCAAAACCGGAACGCACTAATGCTCACATTACTGCATAGCGACAGAAATAGATAAGGTAGGCAGTACTTCCCTGGACGAACACTTCCACACGTTGAGTTTAAATTTGCTCAAGATTATCAGGAACACTTACAAAGAATTGTTTCCCGCAGACATTACAGTGATGGTCCCGAGATCTGCTAAGTCCGTGCTGCGTTGATTTATGGTTTTTCAGACGCCATTGAGATATGAATAGCTGAGGACAACATTGAAGAACAGACTTGATATTAGAAATGAATAATAAATTATTTCTTTAAACATATTTTAACTGCCTCTGTGGCCGAACGGTTACCATGCCGTACTGCGGCGCAGAGGTTTCAGGTTCGATTCCCGGGCCGGGAGAAAAATATTTGTATGGCCTATATTTATTTCTCTCGTTTGTTTGGGTGTAATTTGTGGTTGTCTATGTGTGTGTCCATGGCACCCGCGACACAGGGTTTTCCTAGTAGTCTATGTTGAGTGTGTGCGTTATTATTATTATATTTAAAATATCTTATAATAAAATAAAACTTAACATAGATCTGCAATGTTCTGTTTCCGGTATATGTCGGGTTGAAAGGGACGTCAAACAATAAGAACATATACTTCAACTATAAGTGTTTCATATTTAAAAAATCTAGTATATGGTGTGTGCGTGCATGCCGTGTAAGTTTATGTGTGTGTATGTATGCATTGGAGTGTATGTGTATGTATTATACGGCCTCCGTGGTCAAGTGACTTGCACACCGGTTTTCATGGTGTCGCCATCTCTGAGGTCTCGGGTGCGGTCCCCGGCCGGGTCAATGTAGAAAAACTAACTTTTCTTCAGGGTGTTTGGGGTACCGTAGTTGTTTCAGATTTTCATAACACAAGTATATTTTGTATTGAATTGATATTCAATTCTTTTTTGTGAAAACTATTGGAGTAATTTCACAAAAAAGAATGTATATCTCTAGCCAGGGCTTGTAGCTGTAAAGTTACTTGAGTGACGAAATAATTACATAGATTTCTCATAGCTGGCGCTATGCGTAAAAAAAACCAAATACAAAGATCCAACAAAAAAGCATATACAAATATTCGTGAGGTCCGCGGGTTCGTTCCGCGGCTTAGTTGACATAGCATCTGCCAGAGCAATGTACGTGATGTTGTCTATTTGTGCGCATGTGTGCGTGCGTGTATTTGTGTATGTATGTTCATGTGGCAAGGTGATTACTGTCCTTATTATTTTTTATAGTTGTTGGTATTACCTTATTACAAAGATCGCAGCGATACTGTGATTTGTGTAGGTGATAGAAATTGTAATGTTTTTTCCAGTAGACTTTGGACGCGAAATGCTTATTACATTCTCGACATTGGTACCTGTTGACAAATAAATGTGTTAATGTGCACTTCAGTGACAGAAAGTTATGTCAATCAGTAATCATACCAGTTATATAGCAAATTTACGTCACTTATTGTTATTTACTCCTGGTTAAAAAATTAAAGGGGGTTCAGTTGCACATTAGAGCGATTGACTCTGAAGTCAGTTAGTTGTCCAACCTCCGATACAAGAGGAACCCTAACGAGAAAGATTGTTGTTTAGTCCCCTTGTGACTTATTACATAGTGGCTATTATCACTAAATGTTATTTAGTCATTTTTTGTGTGACTTATTGTTATTCAGTAGTTTTTATCACTTCATATTATTTAGTCACTTTCTAAATTGTTATTTAGAACAGGGTCAAAAGCAGGTCGTGCTTGATAGTTGAGATTGAAATTAAACTCTATGCCCCTTGCAATAAGAAAGGTGCCAAAGTACAAACTGTCAAGCTTGATGTGCTCTTGACTGTACCTTTTGTCACTTAATGTTATTTAATCACTTTTTTTTAAAATTTATTGTTATCGAGTTTGACTACTATTTGTCATTAAATGCCACCTAGTCATTTTTTTATGCAATGTTATGTTGTTTGCCATTTCAACTTCATGTTAATTAAGCACTTTTTATCATTTAATGTTATGTAGTTTTGCTAAATCTATTTAGTGACTACATAACAAACTTTTTTAATGTCGACACCGGAAAGCAATCTTCTCATACTATCTCGAAAAATTGAGAAAATGAATTTTATATATATGGATCAGAAAAAAATTCCATTGTGTGCTTCGTCAAAAAATCGGTGTCCAAAATCGAGGCATACGTAACACGAAAAAATATCGTCGCAAAATTACGATACCTAGACCAAAACCTGCGCAATTTTTTCTGTATCCAAATATATAAAAAGAGATACGACATTTCAAGATACGAGAAGACTGCTTTCCAGGGTCGATATTAACAAAGTATATTATGACTAAGCTACTATAATATTGATTTAGCACTCATACTTCTTGAGATTAAATGAATATGATGGACAAATAACCCTCTCTTTTGAGGAGATTCAAGACAGCAGTGTGAAATATTTCAAAAGATGTGAACAGTGATAGCACATATCGAGTTCTTAGGTTTTCGCGATTGTTACACATTGGAAATGAAACTATTTTTCCGGATTTAAATCGCGTATAATTTGTTTTTTTCAAGCAAACCGACATTTCGGGTCCTTTACAGGTCCCATGGTCACGGTTGACATTCATGACATTCGGTATAATAGTTTCATTTCCTAAGTGATAGCACACATAATAGAAGATATTTGACCTTGACGATATCCAGGAATCACAGAACCCGGCAAAGAATTTCACACACAATTACAACTGACACATACACACTAACAACTGAGACATTTTTTTTATATTTATTTTATTTTTATTTTATTTATTTATTTATTTATTTAGATTCACTTACAGTTATAACAACAATACCTCCATACATTGATTACATTCTTGATATATCTTAACTAATTGTATAACTAATTAAAAGTGAACACAGCATGCATAAACAAACTTAAGTATGAAATAATATGAGTTCTTAACTAAACGGGATGAAAATATAAAACAAAGAGAATAATAAAAATTTCAAAAAAGACAACAAAAGCAGTGACCACCAATGTCAATTCCAATATACAACAATACAATATATATCAACAGTATAGATAAAATTATTAAGTTACAGTTTGGATAAAATTGATCTGCAAAATCTGTACAAAGAGTCGGAAAATATGTCACTAGACCCGCTATGCTGGTTATACAGTCTGCAAAGCCTGGGAACACATGAATTAAAGCCAAGAACAGTCCTGCGGAATAATAAATAAATAAATAAATAAAATTGTTTATTCAGTAACATAATGTACAGAGAAAACTAAAGACTACTTATGCGATTTAATGTAAAAATAACACATGTACCTGAACTAGGAAATTCCTGTATTTCAGGTAAAAAGTACTACTAATTATACATAAATGTGGATACTATTAATATTATAAATACTTTTTAGGAGAATCTTATGAAATAAAATTAAACAATTAAATAATAAATTGCCGTTAAAAAAATAAAAAAAATAAATAAAAAATGTACACTTAAACAAGACAACGTTTAATTTACGATAAAAAATAAATTCTCTGTATCCTCATAGGACATATTTTGAAGAGCTTCTTGGAGAATTTTCTTTATCTTAAAGCAACAGAAATTATAAATGGAATATTCACATCATTCAAGCGTCAGCTTT